TGCTGTTTCCAAATTTCTGGTGGCGTGAATTGCACCATTGTATTCTTTTTCTCAAAGATGGTACCCAACTAACCCTATTATACTGTGTAGTCAACAAATCAAAAACAATGCATATGTGCAAAATTAAAAATAGCGACAATTTACCCATCGCACCCGTATGCGTGTACACACAACATATATATATATATATATATATATATATATATATATATATATATATAAATAAAGACAAAAGGAAAACTTTATTCATGTTGTCGTTTACAGATATAGTCATCAGGACATGCATAATCATGGTTCTCCACCAATTTCCTGTCCTTTGTAGTTTTTAGTAAGGTTTGTCGTTTTGCTATCTTTCCTAATCTAACTTGTTAGGTAGGTTACTTGTAGCTTTTCTTTGTACCTCTTGTCATCAATATGTACTGTGAGTGTCAAATTTTCTAAGCCCTCTTTTCTCATATGTCTCTTTCTAGTTCTAAATATTCTATGTACTGTATCCTTTCAGGATGGCAGCGATCATGATTCTCAATAGTATCTTGTCCTTTGGAGCTCTTAGTAAATTTTATCTTTTTGCTATTTCCTAATCCCATTTCTGCCAAGCATTTACACAAGCTCATTAGGTATATTGATTCTAAATATGTGTTCTTTTTTGTTTCCATTTTCTTTCAAAATTACCTCGTAGCTCACATATTCAGTCCATGGTATTCTCAGAATTTCTTTTGGCTCAAGTCATATATATATATATATATATATATATATATATATATATATATATAGCCAATTTGTGATTGATAGGAATAATTCCAATTAGGATATTAATTCAGAGAAAGCTTAATACAAACTATAGAGCAATATAATAATTATATAATAATAAAGAAGAAAACCTTAAAGATTAATTTCGGTTATAATTTATTTCATGAATATCTATATATTTGTCTCTTCAGAGTGTATGTATGCATATATATATATATATATACATACATGAGAGAAATTGTATGAACACAAACATCAACATTGCATGGTGACATTTTCACACCGAAATTGATCATTAAACTCTTATTTATCTCTAGAATCCCTCTCCCCATGATTATGAGCACTCTGCCCATAGAAATTTGCCACATTGAATATATATATATATATATATATATATATATATATACACACACACATAAATATATACATATATATATATACACACACACACATACATGAAATATATACATATATATATATACACACACACACATACATGAAATATATACATATATATATATACACACACACACATAAATATATACATATATATATATACACACACACATAAATATATATATATATATATATACACACACACATAAATATATATATATATATATATACACACACACATATATATATATATATATATATATACACACACACACACACACACACAAATATATATATATATATATATACACACACACACACACAAAAATATATATATATATATATACACACACACACATAAATATATATATATATATATATATACACACACATAAATATATATATATATATACACACACACACACACATACACATAAATATATATATATATACACACACACACACACATATACATAAAATATATATATATATATACACACACATATACACACACACATAAATATATGTATATATATATATATATACACACGCACATAAATATATATATATATATATATATATATATATATAATTCTGAAGCTTTTTCAGCTCACAGGTTTACAGTAATAACAAATGTACATTTTTAATATTGAATTGTATGGAAAATTTCTTGTTAAGTTTTGATCCTTTCCATCATTCAACTTCAATTCTATTGCTGTGGGTTTTCTTACCCTCCAAGCCTTCAGTTCGAATTGTTGGTCACCCCTTTTACCTACCCACCTTGTGGGCATGTTGATGTAGTATTGTCCAGGCTGAATGTACACTAGAAATAGGGGTTGGAGGATGCAAGAAATCTATGAATGCACTCCCAGGGAATGGGGGTCAGTGTGCTGAGAAAATTTAGTTTGAAGCTGTACAACATGTGCGGTCAATGGAAAATTATGCCTGAGAATCTCGAGTAGCGTTTCCATTAGAATAATGTATTTCTGAACTAAAATATCAATCTGGACACTGGCTGGAATTGAGGTTTGGGAAGAATAAACAGCCAGTGTTTAGGTTATAGGAATGGGCGGTGGGGGTGAATAGCAGTTGAGGGGAGGAAAAGTGGACACTTGGAAAAAAAGAATGGGAATGGGGAAGTAGGTAAGTGGAGAAGGAATGAGAAATTGAAGAATGTAAAAAGGAAATGAAAGAAGGGTGAAGGATGGAATAAAAGAAGGAAGGACTGAAAGGATGAAAGAACTCAGCAGCAGGAAGAATAAAAGAAAATGGGTTAGAGTAAGGAAAAGAGTTAAGAAAGAATAAATAAATGAAAAGATGAAAGAATGCATAAAAAATAATTCAGCTTCAAAGGGAAGAAAGTAGAAAAGAATGAAAGGAAAGAGAAAATGAAGGAATGAGAGTAAAATAGCATCAAAGGAAGCAAATAAAATTGGAAGTAAAAACAAATGAAAAATTTTTTTAAAAATTGCAGATGAAAGATAATAGAAAAAAAAAATGAATGAAAGATTATAGACAGGAAAGAACAAAAGAAAAAGATGAACAAGTGAAATTAGTAAAAAAAAAATAATAATAAAAATAAAATAAGATAAATAAAAATAAAATAAAAAAGAAAATAAGTAAAATTAAAAATTTTATAAAAAAAAACAAAGAAATTAAAGGAAAAAGAATAACTGAATGTAAACATTTTTTTAAATTAAGAAAAAAAAGTGTCAATGAAGTAACTTTACATCTGTAAAGAGAAAGAAATTCTGGAGAAGAGATAAAAAGATTGAGCAAGAAATTGAAGTGAATATATGAAGAATGAGAAGAAAAAGAAATATAGGAAAATAAAAAAAAAAATTAAAAGAAAAACGGATTATTCAAATGCTAAAAAGAGATCTCATCTGTGCTGAATAAGTGAAGTAAAAATTCATTCATTAGAAGGAAGTGATAGAAAATGAGAAACTTGTAAAGAGAAAAAAAAACGAAGAAAGAATAAAATAACTAAAGAATAAGTTTATTTATGAATACTGAATAAAAGAACTAAAGAGTAAGAAATACAAGAACTTACAAAGAGGACAAACAAATAAAGTGTAAGGAAAAAAAAGGAATAAGAGAAATTATAAAGAGAAAAAATAAAGAAGGAATAAATAATAAAAATACAGTTGACTGTAATGCGAATGAAAATTAAATGATAGAAATAAGGGAGATAAATTTATTAAGAGAATCATTGGTTCATGAAAGAAGAGAAAAAAATGGAGGAAAAGTGCAAAATTAGATAAAGTTAGAATAGAAAATGGTAATTGAAGAATGACGGAAGAAAAAAACGGATTTTCTTTAAGATTGTGGATTGATCGGGAAAACATGCAGTAGACAAAAATAAGAAAGAAAACAGAATTTAGTGGGGAGACAATCCAGTATGAAAGAATATAAAAATGAATAAAGGAAGATAAAATATATAATTAAAAAAAAAAAAGAAAGAAAGAAAAAATAAAAGGTAGAGAAAAGATAATAGTGAAGAATAAAAAAACACTAAGAAAAAAGAAAAAAGAATGAAGAGAAGTAAACAGTAAAAGAAGAAAAAAATTGGAATATTCAGTGTGGGCAGGTCGGGGCAGTGAGTGGACAAAATGGCTAAAGAAGAGAAATTTCAAGTAGCACTTTCCTGTGTCACTATCATATTTTTGTGGGTGGTGAGAGGAAATGAGAACTGGAAAAAGAAATCAATACTTTGACTGGACACTGGCGATGTTGATATGAAAATTACTGAGGAAAAATAGGATATTTGGGGTCAGTGGACTCTAAACCAAATGATACTAAAAGTGACCCACCACCACCATCAACTACCTCACAATATAACCTCTCTCTCTCTCTCATTATCTATCAATCCTCAATTCTTTTTACATCTTCCCTCTGTATTATCCTTTAGCAATCTCAGTATTCTAAGATATAGATTCTCCCTCTCTCACTTCCTCCCTCCGCCACTCTCAAACACACACATTTAGTTGAAAAGCATGCACATATATGTACACAGGATCATATTCACTAACATACAGATGTACATGGAGATACAATAGTCATGTAGAGACTAATTAACATGTATCTGTGTGTTAATATTTATATATCTGAATGTGTGCATATATATATATATATATATATATATATATATATATATATATATCTGTGTGTGCATATATATGTCATATAGCTTTGCATATGTGTGAATATGTTATCTATCTCTGTATGTGCATATATATATGTCATATAGCTTTGCATATGTGTGAATATATGTTATATATCTCTGTATGTGCATATATATATGTCATATAGCTTTGCATATGCGTGAATATATGTTATATATCTCTGTGTGTGCATATATATGTCATATAGCTTTGTGTATGTGTGAATATATGTTATATATCTCTGTGTGCATATATATATATATATATATATATAATGTCTATACATTCTTTATATATATATATATATATGTGCATGTTATTTGTGTGTATGAATATATGTGTTTGTACATATATATTGGGTGTGTATCTGTGTGTGAATATATGTTATAAATCTGTTATTAATTGAGTGATTTGTTTTCTACGGCTTATTGACACTTTGCAGGTTATTTAAAGCCCAGAAATATTTTTAGATTGTAAGATTTTTCTTTTTTTTTTTTTCTTTTGTTTTAGATAATAATGGTTTAATGATACAATCTAAATAATTAACCCATAGCTGGAGGAAAAGAGGTGGACTCATATTTTTCTAGGATGTTTGCATGTAAGTGAATATAATGTAGCCAAATTGAATTGGCTCTCTGATTAGCAATTCTGAAGCATCATTGATTACACCACCCACACATTCAAGTGTAAAGCACCTGGTATTTCCAAGTGGTCACCCATCTCAGTACTGACCAGGTTTGACATTGCTTAACTTTCATGATTGTATGGGAACTGGTGTTTGAACATGATAATGTGGCCATATATATATATATATATATATATATATATATATATATATATATATATATATATATATATATATATATATATATATATATATATATATATATATATATATATATAAAATATAAAATATTGTCGGACTTAATCCATTTCATTACATATATATATTTATTATCTCACACACATAATATATATATATATATATATATATAAAAAGTAGTAATCCACTTCCAGCACCCTCTTATATAATGTGTGTGTATATATATATATAAATTCAGGAATCATTCATACAAAATTTGTTTTTTTGTTTTAAATCATTAGCCTTTATATTTTGTTTTTTGTATGAATGATTCATGAATTTATAAATTATATTTGCACCTTTTAATTGAAATATATATATATATATGAAACACACACATTATATATGTATCTAGGCAGCATATCTTCATTCAATCATGTTTCAGTGAACAATATAAAAGCAGTAACCCACCTCCAAAATCAGTGTTTCAATAATCAGACATAAGAATACTGATTTTGGAGAAGTGTAAAAAAACCAAGAACTTTTCAGCATCCTCTTATATAAGTGTGTTTGTGTGCGCGCACACACACGGAATGGTGACATAGGCATCAACACTGCATGGTGACTGTCAGTTTCACCCTTCAAGCAGTCATCTGTTCTATATCTACACTCTACATTTGCAATATTGAACCTTCTTCCTCTATAAATTAAACAAAATTTGAAACATACACTCACTATCATCCATAGACAACCATATTATAATGTTATGCACATATTCACTTACATTTTTCTTCCCTTTTATTTTATTTTTGCTATTTCAGTATTTAAGAAGAATAATGCCATTAAAGAGAATACTAGTTAAATCTCTCCAGTCGTCAAAGCTTGGAGAAAATTAAGTTTCTCTTAATTAAGGTTTTAATGGCAAAATGAAGGGATTCATTGAGCAGTGGTAGTGACCACAGAAGAGGTGGAGATGTTGAAAAGTAAAAGAGTTGATTGTGAAGAAGTCATGGCTATAAACTGGCCCTTTCCATCTACTGCTGCCTTTTTCTTTGGTCACCTCCATTACCGACTCCTGCATATTTTTCTTTCAACTCCAACCACCTCTGCACATCCCATTCTTCCCCTCCTCTCTTGTTCATATTTTTTTTTATTTTTACTTGATATTTCTTGAAAATGAAGTCTGTGATAAGGATAGTGGTGCTAGAGGACTATGCAGGTGCTACTGCCCATATCCACACCCACATCAAACACCAACACACTCATCACCTCAACTACCACCATTACAGGCAATTCAGAATTTTATTTTTTTTTATTTTTTTTTTCTGATTTCCTTCTGCTCCCTTTCCTTGCAGCCTTCATTCCTAACATTATTTTTCATTCTTTCTTCTTTGAATTATCTTTTTTCTTTCTAATTTCCTTCATCCCTAACATTATTTTTCATTCTTTCTTTTCTGAATTTCCTTTTTTCTTTCCCTAATTCTCTGTCTCCTCTCATTACAGCTTTATTTTTAAGATTACTTTTCATTCTTTCTTCTTTGAATTTCTTTCTTTTTTTTTTCCTTATAATTTCCTTCTATAGCGACCCTCCTTGCTGCCTTCATTCCTAACATTATTTTTCAATCTTTCTTCTTGGAATTTCATTTTTTTTATAATTTCCTTCTGTAGCCACCCTCCTTGCTGCTTTCATTCCTAACATTATTTTTCATTATTTTTCTTTGAACTTCATTTTTTATAATTTCCTTCTGTACCCACCCTCTTTGCTGCTTTCATTCCTAACATTATTTTTCATTCTTTCTTCTTTGAATTTCATTTTTTTTATAATTTCCTTCAGTACTCACCCTCCTTGCTGCCTTCATTTCTAACATTATTTTTCATTCTTTCTTCTTTGAATTTCTTTTTTTTTTTATAATTTCCTTCTGTACCCATCCTCCTTGCTGCCTTCATTTCTAACATTATTTTTCATTCTTTCTTCTTTGAATTTCATTTTTTTTATAATTTCCTTCTGTAACCACCCTCCTTGCTGCCTTCATTTCTAACATTATTTTTCATTCTTTCTTCTTGGAATTTCATTTGTTTTTTTCCTAATTTCCTTCTTCCTTGTAGGCTTCATTCCAAAAGTTATTTTTCATTTTTTCTACTTTGAATTTCTTTTTTTTATCTAATTTACTTTCCCCCCTTCTCCTTGCAGCCTCCATTCTTAATATTATTTTTCATTTTTCTTTTTTGAATTTCCTTTTTTCTTCTAATTTCCTTTAAATTTACTTTTCTTTCTAATTTTCTCTTCACCTGCTTCTTTCTGACTCTTACTTCATCTTTGAATTTTTTTCTTTTGTGACCATTTTCAATTCTTACATAAACAATCTATGTTTCCCATCTAACCATTTTTCTTATCTCTCCACCAATTCTTTTGATTTTGTTTTAACCTTTTCTCTCTTTGTAAAAATAGTTCTTTATGTCTTTATCCCATTAAAGACATTTGTCTCCTTTTTCTTATTTTTCTTTTTCCTTTCTTTAATTATCTCCTTTTTAACAAACTACTTCAATTTTCTTACTCTGTTTAAATATTTCCTTTCTTTTATTTTTAATTTGAAATTCTTTCTTCTTTCTTAATGATGGCTACTCTTTTTTTTAAATCCTTGTCTTTTTTCTTATTTCTTTTTTTCTTTTTTAGCAAAATTTTCCTTCATCACTGTTTCATTCATTTTATTTTTCCTTAGATTAATTTTTCTTTCCTTCTTCATGCCACTACACTATAAAAAGCAAATTCTTCTTTTTTATTTTCAATATTTTTATTTTTCATTCGCTTCTCGTTTCCTTAACTGTCTCCCTTTTTTTTTTTTCATTTGCAGCATTTTCAAAATTCTTCCCCACTCTCTTCCTTTCTTGCATTTGTGCATTTTTTCTTCTTCGTCATCATATTTTGCAAATAAAAATCAATAACTCTGTGAGTGGACAGTGGCGAGTAAATCGAGTGTCAATGACTGAACCCTGGAAAATGAGGGAACAAATAAATGGATGGACAGTGGGGGGAAGTGGCAGTTGGACTGAGGGTGGAGACTGAGTAGGAGTAAAGAAATAACAGGCCGACAAAATGAACGGTACTGACTATTCTACATTAAATGGTAATGATGGTGCTGTATATCTGTAGATTTTCTATTCTTCTTTGCATCAAGTCAGTGACTATTTTAAAGCTTGCTCTTTCGCTGCCTGTATCACTAGAAAGATAGAGAAAAATAAAATCATGATTAGCAGCATGAAAAAAATGAATGTAAAGTTGGATATGATCTGGAGATAAACAAATAGATATTTATTAGTTTGTTCAGAAAATATTTCGCATTTTTTTTTTTAACCATCATTTTTAAAATGGCAGATCTTACTCCAGAAGAATTTTTATTGTTCAAAATTGGAGCCATTAGATTCTACACCATTTTGCCAACAAAAGATTCATGCATAGATGTTTGGGTGGCAACAAAATCTTTGAAACCATTTTGGACAGCAATTGAATCATTGAAAGCTCTTCCTTGTAAGAAACGGTCTAAATGTTTGAAAAAGTGGTAATCAGTTGGCAAAAGGCCAGGTAAGATCATGTGGCAGTTTTGTGGCCTGATTCATTCAATTTCTGTAGTATTCATTGTGCAACATGTGGCCAAATATTGTCATACAAGAAGAATTGACTTTTTTTATTGACTAGTGCCCAGCACAAATACACATTGCAATTTCTGATGCATTTGATCAATTTCTTGGCAATACTTCTCAGCTGTGATTGTTTCTCTAGGATACAGAAAAGCTGTGATGAATCAATCAAGTTTTAAAACACCAAACTGACATTGTAACCTACTTTTGGTGAAACTTTAGCTTTGAGAATTGTTTCTTTTCAATTCAGCTATCACCCTGAATGCTATTGGTTGTCATATGAGATTAATTCCTCACCACATGTCACAATGTGATCAAGAAATGGGTCATTTTTGTTGCATAAAAAAAAAAAGAATCAGACTTCAAAATAATGATTCTTTTGGTTTTCATACAATTCCTATTGTATCCATTTGTCCAAATTCTTAGACTTTCCAATTTTGTTCAATTTTTCAAACACTAATCCAATACTCGCACTTAACTTTCTTGCAAGTTCCCAAACAGTGGTGCAGGGATTTTCCTCCGTTAATGTTTTGAATTCCTCATTTTCAATGGGAGGCTGACATCCTTGATCTTTCTTATCTTCAAGGCTGGCTTCACCACAACAAAATTTCTGAAACCAATGTTGCACTATGCATTGATTAACATATCTTTCTCCTCAAACTTTCTTAATGTTTCCAGCAGGCTGAGTTGCACTACAGCCAAAATTATATTCATAAAAGTAAATTTAAAGAAAATTTTTGTCATCATAGTTAAGAGTTCTGGAAAAGAATGTATGCGGTATGTGAAAAAATGGATCATTTAGACAGGAATCCTATGAAATACTCTTTGAAACAACATGTAATTTTTGCCTGTTTGCATGATTTTTACATTAAAAATAGCTTAAAATATACAATGACAAAACCTGCATTATTTTCTGAACAACCTAAGTTCAGATTAATTTGGTTTAATGTAAGGGAAATGGAAGAACAACAAAGTATTGAACTCTATATCTGTAGCCTGTACCCTCAGTTGGGGAACTACAGTACCACAATAACCAGCTATAGGTACAGACTGAAAAAGATCCGGTTGCACATAGCTAAGTGGAGAAAGGAACACAAATCCAACCAAATGGAAAATAAACATGCTAAGAGTGCCATTGGTTGATGAATTAATTGACTAACAGACAAACAAGAAAGATAGTATGATAGACATTTAAAGGGAGAGAAAAAGGATAGATAAAAAGGCTAGCTAGCTTGACAATTGTTTAATTGCCAGTCTAGCTAGTCTTTTTATCTATATTAGATGGGAAGATAGACAAAACATTGTCTTGGTACAATCAACAAGTTTAATATACAAATATATCTCAA